ATTTATCAGTTTTAAGGCATCAGAGGTGAGTCCAGAAGGTTTACACATCTTTAACTTATGTAAAAAAGGGGTATAAGCTCGCCGCAGCTACTTGTCGCTGGAGTACTCAAGTACTTACTGATGTCGAACTTTTACTGCTATTTTTCTGTACGTTCAAAACTTGTAAATATCTGAACTTAAAACCGTGAGAACGTTGTGAGAACGTTACTTAGCAAATAATATGCATACTGGGCGCAGGAATGTTTATTAACGCTTGTCAGTTTACTGCATGCATCTTTATTCCAATTTTTGAAAGGTTACAGCTGATCAAATTCTCTGCTGTTCAGCATGACAAAACCGGAAACCAAGGAACTTGAAGTTTTTGATTAATTTTTTGGACATTGTCTCTGCCACCACAATTCAAATGTAAAAGTCAAAGTGGACGGTTTTGTTTTATTTTATTGATTTTTCATGCCTCGGCTGTGTTTTTACTTTACTGCTAAACGGTCTGAAGTTGTAGCTTATTTCAATCGTATTTTTATTTATTCTATTCATAGTCGGAGCATACGTGATGCCGATGTTATTGCTTCGGTACTTTGCAGGTTCTTTTATAATTTGGGGGTGCAGGCACTTAGAAACTATCAATGTGTAACAAACTCCGGAAGTTTGCCACAGGTGGCAAACTGTGTAACGTCATCTACAGCTCCTATATCTTTGCCAGTTCTACAGACCGAAGAACAAGCGCGCATCTTGCGGTAATGGCTTCATTGAATGTAAAAAAGGAAACGCCTGCAATTCCTGAGGACATGGTCATTCGCAAGTGTTGAACATTGGTGTTCTAGTGTTTTTTTTCCTAACATAATTTTGAACTTTTCAGGGAATATCGAGAAAGACAACTAGTATCTCAGCAAGCGATTCATGATTTACAAACTCAGGTGAGTGACCAGTATACTAGTTCTTAAGTTTACCTGGTTAAGGTATCAAGCCAAATTCCTCTATTTTTTCTTTCTTTCACGGTTTTTTCGGTTGCTAATTCTTTTCGGGAAGCTAACTGTTTATTTCGGCTGTATCTTGCTAAAATTCTTAATTTATTCTAAATAATCCACTAACTTCTTCAGTAAGGTGCACCATTTTTTTACTCGTAGTTCGTCTAGCAATACTTTGTATTTATTTTTGAGCAGAAATGCTAGTTAGGCGAAGCTTTATGTAGTTATTGCAAATTTCTTGTGGAGAGGTTTTTATCGTTTAATATATATAGGTTTGTGTTTTTTGTTAATAGTGCTGGCCCGTTGTGTGCATAGAAATTCAGAACCGAATAGTTTACGTGATGAAATTATATGGTTTTGCTGAGTAGAAATTTAATAAACGATTATTTGTTTGAAAAAAAATTTTTCTACAAACTTGATTTTTTGCTTTTGTTCTTGTGTCATATGTTAAATAAAATTAGTTTTTCAAAAATAAATTATGGATTGTCACGCTGGTGAATACTCTTGTTTCTCTCGGTAAAGAAATTTAAATCGTTTTAAAAAGGCAAAGACGATTTTTTACAATAGAAAATTCATTAATTGGAGGGTTTGTTGTGGAGTTTGCGGCTAGTATTTGGTTTAAAAAGATTATGATACTCTATATTCCGCTTGTCCACATATTGACTAAGAATAATTTAGTCTATTTGTTATACGAAATGATGTTTTTCCAGCTTCTAAATAGTCAGGAAATTCCTGTGTCTCAAACCACCAACCAACAAATCACAATGTTTTACCAGCCTACAACGACGGTTCAACCGCCTAGTGCACAGCTCGACAACCTTCTTTTGCAGAACAGTTTAATAAACCCAAGTGGTCAGCACTTTTTGTCATTATAAAAAAAATTTGTTTTCACTCAAAGGAATTTACCTTTTAGTTAAAGATGAGCTTTGGAGCAGAATAACGTTTTAAAATTAGTTTCAGTTGATTGGCTTGCGTTTAACGAACTTGTTGTTCGGGCTCGGATGTTTACCGCAGCGCTTGACATGGTGCCGGCGGTACATAATGAAACCTTCAACTCTCAGCCTGTGTGTGCTGAGGTTTTTTTCAAAAATTATCTAAATTATAACTATGAGTTTCTCGCTGTAATTTTCCCGTATTTGTTTTTTTTTTAATGAGCGCTATACTATAGAACAGCTCGACAAGCGAAAGTGGTGTGAAGGCGAAGAATTGTCTTGCATCATCATCAATGCCATCTAACTCTGGTTCTGCCAGTTTTACTGGCCAAAACTCTTTTACATCAAGCAGTAGTAGTGCTTCAGAGGATGGTTCAAAAGAACAAAGTGTAAGTTTACTTGTTATTTACACTTAATTATTTTTGAGTGGCTGTCAAATTAAGAATTATTTTTGAATGATGCTTCTCCGCATTTCTATCTTACAGTTTGATTCAGGTTCTAAAAGAAACTACGCAACGTTCGTCTTCTCCAGTGGCCCAGCCTCGACCAATTCGTCCGAATTTGGATAATCAGATGGCTATCTATGATATGCAAGTCAGTCACTCTCTTTTGGCCGCTAGCGAAATGCATTATAACGAAGCCTTTAAGAACATAACAGCTGATTCACAAAACCAGTATGCAACATTTGAACTTCTTTTTATTCTAAAGAAGGGAAGAGTAATTTTCATACATTTCTTAATTGTTCCGGACTTGTTTATGAAAATACAATTTTTTTGTTGTTTAACCTTATCCCGCTTTTAGTTTCAGCGCAAGTATGGAAACGAGTTGCGCAGTTCAAGATCATCATATGCAACATGGTACTCTAAATTTTTTCATTAATAGGAATCCGCAACAAATCGTTTATTGTAAGCTGTAGAAGTTTTTGGGGTTTGAACTTAAGCCGGTTCCTTTATCTTCGTCACTATTCTCTGAGTTTTCGACTTCTGTGGCCTTGAGTACACCAGGTGAATCATGTGTAGATGATTATCTTGTTTATGGCATTTAAATGCTTTACAATATTCGGTTTGATATTAGCCACTGGTGTTGTGCTTGAAATGATAAAAAAGATTCAGAAACTGTTTAAAAATATTGGACAGCTGACAATTATTAGAGCACTTGCCTGAGGCGGTTGTATGAATGCAGCATCACTTTTTATTTGTATTCAAAAATATTGTTTTAAGATTTTGACTGCTGCAGAGGAAGATTTGATTTATCGTTTGTTCTATTGCTAGGATTTAGATCAACGTAGAAACATTCACGTAGAATGAGTATTTTTAAAAGGTAACATCTCTTCTTTAAAGAACTGTCACGGGTTTTCTAGGTTGAATTTCAAGGCATTTGTTATAGAAAGTGGACAGGTCATTTTAAATTTTTGATTACTAGAAAAAACGGTAGTCAGTCGATGTCTTTGCTAGTTGCAATTAAGATTTCGCTGTTCGGCTTTTATTATAAACTTGTTTTATGTAATTTTAGCCATTTGTTTATTTTAGTCTTTTATAGTAAAACGAGGTTTATTACAACAGGTTTATTTGTTTTTACTGATAGTTATTTCTAATGAAGCATAGAAAGTGTAAAATCTTTTTTGTTGGCTAGTGTATTGTTGTTAACAAGGTAGATCACTTTACGTGCAAAAAATGATTTTGTGACCAACCTCGTATACCCATTTCATCGACTGAAAGAAAAATTAAGACAGAGATTTAGTTGGGAATACGCTTTTCAAGTGCGATAACGACTGAGAACCAAATTGTTTTAAATTGGGTCGTCAGAATATTTTTTTTTAAGTGCTATATTATACACTCATTCATTATAGAACAAATGTTATCGTTTCTCAGCTGTTCTTTCGCTTTTAGCGTAGTAATTAGATGAATAGCTTTAAAAAGATATGTGCTGGTTGCGTAATAGTAGTCGAAAGGACCGGTCACTCAATTAGAGTCCGACATACTCGAAGCATGTTAGAATTACTTGGAAATTTTTTATTTTTTACTTTGATTTGTAGCTGAAGGGGACAGTTTGTATTCAAATGCAGCACCTTGAAATTTATGAAATTTAAAGTTGGTCGAGGTACAGTAGAATGTTGAAGGAAGTCGCTTTTAAGCATGAGTTAAGATTGACTTTACGGGTCCCTTATCACTGGTATCTTCAAACCATGCGGCAATATTGTAGCACTCGAAGTTGTACGTTGAATAATTCGCCAAAAAGTTATACTGTCAGGTTTGGAACAGTAGCTGACTGTCGTTTTCTCATTCTAGAAGTAAACAACTTTAGAGCTGCGGTAGCTTTTGCCTGTTTCTAAATATAGTTTCCTTGTGAGACATGAGTAGAAATGATTTAGCAGAGCACGTAACTCTAAAAGTAACTGAAGTTATGAATGCGAGCACCAGTATATTTTGGTGGGTTTAAACGAGATAAGTTGAATGGAGGGTCATAGAACAGTTTTTTTTCTGCTTTGAAATTGGAAGTCGGGATCAGTGAAGCAAACTGCAGTAACACTTTGAAATCTGTTAGGAAGGGAATATTGGAGTTGTCAAGTTTGGAAGACAAGTTTATTATTTCGTATATTTTACGCCTGGTCGTACGGATGCAGGCATTAATGGTTCGGTGGAAGTGGGACATCTTGGGTGTTCCTGTTCTGGAAAAAATTGGTGTAAGTATAGTAAAAGAATTGATGTTTACGTAATTTTCCAATAAAAAATTAATATATTTACTCCTCTGAAGGCGGGCAGTATTATCACTTCTCAGTTGAAGATGTTTTTTAGTTGGTAACAATTGATAGGTGGTTCCCAGGCAGCGTTATCTGATAAAAATTTTGACGTAGTTTTCAGGAAAAAGTCTTCATTTTAATTAAACGAGCTTAACAAGAAGTTATCCTACAGGGACATATTTTTTCTATGAATTTCAGCTAAACTGATTCTTTACCATCTTTCATTTCATTCAAAATCAAATTTTCTTAAGTTTCAAATTAAAGTCACTGCAGAGCTCTAGCTGAAGTTGAAGTTTGGCAATTAGTTGTTTTTGGTTTGCTGTGACCAATTTTAGTGATTTATATTTTCTTGTTGTGGTTGAAAGTTTGTGTTGGTAAGTGGGCGGTAGAGTTAGCGCACGAAAATGAATTTTGAGGAAGAATTTGTGAGCATTATTTACCAGTAAGGGTTAAATAAGATATTAGTGTCCTGTCGTTCTTGTGCGCTTCCTGTTTTAACTGCACTTGAAAGTCGAGGTATAAGGACTTGTGTTGCTCGGGGTATTATTAGTCAGGGACAAAATATAACGCAGTTGCAATTTATTGAAAGAATGTTTCTTAGCTTGTAGGAATAATGAATCACAGTTTTAGACTGCATAGTAAACTTTTAAATCTGCGGCTTCTTTTAGATATTAGGGCTATAAGGAACATGAGGGATATTTACTGCCTGAATTTTGCTTTAAAAGCCGAAGAAGATAACATTTTAATGAGTTGTGTTATAAAAAATACAGTTTGCTGTGAGAATTTGACATCAAGAAGTTCTAAATTTCAAGAAATCTTTAGAATTTTTCAAGGTTGTTGTTCAGCAGAAGAAGTTTCTGTCATAGTATATTATTATAAATGGTGCATGAAAAGCTGTTATAACTAAATTGGACGTGACTCCATGCATTTCTCATGTTTTCATATACACAAATGGCTTTTTTTGGGAAATAGCCACATTATTTTCACTTAAAATAGAGTGAAGGAGGCTCATTGGTGTTACTCCTGTTGCAGATACAGGATCTTTACTGAGTAAATGATTGTTCAAAGTATTATTCGAACAGAAATCTGTGTTTGTTATAGCTATTTGTCACTGATTTTAGTTGCAGTTTGAAAAAAAAGGTTTTCCAACATATAATTGGTTAAATGGGAATTTCACTCGACAGAATGCTTTTGGGATGCGGTACAGATTTTAAACGTTACTTTGTAGTAGTGGATTCCGATAGGGTGAGTGTTAACATAATTGGTGGGCAGTAATTTTGGTTTTGGTTTTTTTTTCTTAAAATACCTTTCTTTAGGTATTATTTCGGTCATTAACTTAACCTATATATATACGAGTATCACACACATTGATTATAGCTTTTAATTAAAGGGTGCAATATGATTTTCGTAAAGTTTTCCTTCCGAATCTTTACATTTTTCCTCTCACCTCGTTTCTTGTTCTTCGTGTATTGTTTTTGGCTTAACTTGGCTTTCAGGCCTTCTGATTTCTTTGATTCTCAGATTTTTTCTTTATAGGGTTTTGTTTTTGGTAAGGTACCTTATTAGAGAATTAATTTGCGGCCTAAAATTTTGACGTTAGTGATGTAGTAGTTGAGTAATGCAAGGTGAGGAAGTGCTTGCTAGAAAAGGAATTTATAATGCCAAAGGCAGCAGTGAGGTTTAATTTTAGCAGACCACTTTGAACAAGTTAGATTGCACAGAATGCTTCTGCAGTTACAGCAAATTGAGCGGTGAAGAAAATTTAGGTGTTGGTGTCGCTGTTTGCATTAAATTAGTCATAACAAAATTTTGGGTGTCGGTTTATTCTCACTGGCGTTTTTGCGAATATTTTTTTAGAGAACGAGATGTAGTTTGTAAATGTTGCATAGGAGCAACTACTATTTTCTGCATTTCAGAACACTGGAAATTTCAACTTTCAACCACTTCGCAGTGGATAATTTTATCTAATTCCGCTAAGTTCTGACAGTTTTTGCTGCGAGCTGAAGTTTTTATTTAAAATTTACACTACGTGATTCACTATGAAAGCCAAAGTCGGAAACTCTGGGAGTTTGTTAAGTGTAGTTACCCTTGTTCTTCCTGTCACTCATTGATATCACTGCTGTAGAAGTTTGATTTGCAGAACTGTGAGACAGCTTTTTCGGTTTTTGAGTTCACTAAATTTCGAGATTTTTAGAGTTGGTTTCGAATGCTGAGCAGGAATCACAGGTATGTTGCAAGATTTTTTTTTTCGGTTTTTTATCACTGTATTGCAACATAGCTTTTATTGCAACTCATCTTCTTGAGTTTCTAGGTCATAATTTTTTTCAAAGTGTTTAAATTTTGCGTGACTCGCTCTATTAGGTTTCTCCTCAATTGTTAATCAATCTGATTAACACGTATCTAACGAAAGTGAAGAAACAGCTGTACAACAAGGGCGTGGGTCTACATTTGAATTCTCAAGGCCTTCCGGTCAGTTTTTTCTCTTTCATATTAAATACGAAAAGCTCCTAGCTATTGGCAAATGATGTTTGTATGAAGTCACAGTTAAGCGGTAGGAATCTTAGTGAAATTTTGTTATTATGACTGCAAATTGTTATTCAGATTGATTTTTCTGCGCGACCTGTTGACCCTATATTTCGGAATGCGCGTGAACAGCTGGACAGCATACGGGAATACCGCGACACGGGGAGTCCTATATCAAACCACATGGCGGTTGATTTGAACCGCCGTTTGTCACCCTCACTTAAAGAAGCAGAAAGTGAATGACTCGTAGAACTTTTTTAGTATCCAGATACATATAGCAGTCTTCCTCTTTGCTGAAGAAGCATTTTTATCAGTTCCCAAATCTAGCACTAATAATAGACTTTACTTGAAATTGAGCTTCTAATGCATTAGCAGCAAAATTTTGTAGTTGTTGAGAGCGCTGCTGAAAGACTGCAACAAAGTGCTATTCGGGAACGAGAAGCTTCACGAGAAAGCGTTGACGCTGACAAAAAAGACAATGGAATTACAGACAAGACAAGCCAATCGGTGAATGTTGATTTACATCATTGCTCAGAAGTTGTGAAGGAAAAAGATGGGGGAGAAGCTTGTCACTTATTTAATTCGGAGTATTGTTGTGAAGAATCCGGTAAGCGATGCGCGAATCAAGCTTG